TAGAGCCAACCAAGACACATTGAAAGAGAACAGGGGCATTTGGCTATATGGCTACACTCCCTCCCGATCATCGGAATGAAGGTTCCAATCCAGTTGCTAGTTACATGTGACCGTGGACAAGTCACCCCACCCCTACTTGTCACTCTCCACCCACGAGTATAAATGCGCAGATTGCGACAATGTATGAATCGCAAAACAGAGCATTATTTTTGGGACCCCGTCGTGTTCTTTATCCACTCTGAGCAGGAACAAAAGAGGGCGTGTCTACACAGCAACGAGGGACCTTTGGTGGGAACTCAACACGTGCTTGCAGATGTTAATTTGGTGTAGGACACGCTGAGCATGCGCAAGCAATTCTTGTATGTATGCACAGTCATGACGTATGCACCAGGAGTGTCCTAGAGCCGGGTTGGAGACCTTTCCAACCAACCAGTTACTTTTTTGCCCGGTGACGGTGCACTTCAACTTGAGGTAGATCGTGGCATCGTCCTTGTACTGCATGCTTTGCAAATGATGAGCTATTCAAATATCAAATTTTGGATGACAAACACCTTACCGGTGCACAGCGATAAGGACGTAGCCCCTGTGACGCTGGTCGTCATGCCGTTGGGGCAAGGCTTACATCCCCGCTGGCCATGTTGCGCCTGGTAGGATCCCAGGGGGCACCGCTGGCAAGGCGTGACGCCCCAGTAGGAGATCTGGCCCGGGGGACACATATCTGGAAAAGTGGGGGAGGTGAAAATTAAACTGTATTCAAATTGCAACAATTCATTCGGCCTTGAACTGGTTGCCAGGCTTCACATCCCCAGTTGAATAGCCAGGCCATGCTAATCCAAAGCGAGGGGCCCTTTTTTTTAATCCCTTGCTTTGAACAACAGGGTCTTCCCTACCAACCATTGCTTTGTCCCAGGCCACTGTTCCCACTAGCTTGATCGACGGCTCCAGCAGGTGAGTGGGGCAATCTGCAATCACATGATTCAACATCATGTTGAATGTGCTCGAAGCTGCATTTGCTTTTGAGTTTGCTGCCTGGACACCAAAAACTGGATACGCCGCCAAGCTCCAGCCAGCTTTGACAGAAGTTGCCTGAGTACTGAAAGGAACTGAACACTAGCCACAGAGACTCCTCTATTAGGTGAGGGAGGGGAGAATGAAATCTGGACAGGCGTTTTCCAGAGGCCAGACTTGCCTGATTGGTAACAGGTCCTTCAGGGCCAACCAAAGAAGATTACCAGGAGGCCTAGACATTCATTGGCATTTCAGTTGTGGAGCCATACCTCTAAGTTCCACTGTGCTCCCTTACTTAATCCACGAATCGTGAAAATGAGAAAGACTGTGCGATAAAGAAACAACATTTTGAACACTGTTGCTGGCACGTACTCATGTTAAAGTGTGTTCATTTCTTGGAAAGTTTTTCAACTCTCTCTATGTGTAATCCGATGGTCACTGATCCGACCACCAGCAATCGTGGCTTAAACAGGCCCACCTTGGCAGTGTGCCGACTCAAACGCCCCCGTTCCGATGGTGGTTGTTCTCGGAGGGCAAAGCTTGCAACTCTGCTGTGCCTCTTCGTCCTGGTACGTTGCTTTGCCACATGGCACACAGGTGCCAGCACTCAGCTTGTAACGGGTGCCGACGGGGCAGTTGACTGCAATGACAGATTACAAAACAAAGAGGACAAGAATGGCGTTAGCATACGTGAGTACTCCAACGATACCCATGCCTATAAACTCAGGGTTTGAATCTGTGATTACAAAAAACCTGCCTCCATTGGGCAAAGCATTTGTGACCTATCACAACAAAATGAGCGTAAAGTCGCATTCCACTCTCTCCTGTTTTGAGGGGTCAAAGTCAACTATCAAAGTGGAGGTCAATTTGGAGGTTTGGTAATACATATATTTAACCTGTTTCCTATTTAATTCCAAATTTTTTAAGATTACATGATAAAAATGTCTTTTTTCAGCAATTTTGATGACAGCACCATTCAAGCCTGGTCAGAAATGTTGAAACAATGTCCGAAACGAAGACGAACATCTGCCAGAATAACGTCACATTGTCGCCTTATGCTTTTTACCTGGCAAGTGTGCCATACACATACCCCTGGGGAAGCCCTTGTTCTGCTGAATTTGAACATTTTTGAAAAGTCTGACTTTTCATTTTGTGGTAATGGGTCACATTTCTGTAGTTTTAACTTACCTTGACCTTTGACCTATAACGTCCCTAATCAAAGACACCTAAACTCCCATACCAAGTCTGAAGTTGATATAAACAGCATTTCTCAAGTTATAGTATGAAATCTATTTCTGTTGTTTAAACTCTAATTACCTTGACCTTTGACCCATGGGATCCAATATCAACAGGCTTCTGGAGAACACCAAAAGTAACCTACGAAGTACCAAATTTGACATTCAAGTGTCCCGTCTTTATCGAGTTCAGGTAGGAAACCCATTGTGTATCATTTCAAGTTAGTTGACATTTTCAACCATAACCATTGGACATTGACCTTTGAGCTATGGGGTCCAAAATCAATTGGCTTCTCAAAAAAAGGGTGGTGAAACTGGTGGCAGACGTACAGACGCACTGACGCAAACACTCGGAGGGACAAGACAAAACAGTATGACCCTTCAGCTTCTCTAGCAGGATGCAAAAACGTCATATGCTGCGCGTTCACCAAACTCCCTTGCGTTTGCCCCGTCAGCAACAGGTTTCTTGGGTGGCGATTAAGGATGTTACGTATTCTTTGCATAGATTCCAATGCAAAGCTAATTTGGCACCTCAAAACACTCACAGTGAACTCTGTTGCAGACGAAATGACTTCATAATAATACTCTTGCAAATAGTTTCCAGAATGTCATAAATTTACATTTGCTAGTGAGCCGAGTATGAATCAATCAGTGACGGTGTAATGAGGGGCTTAACTTCCATTAGAGGGGGTGTGTACATGTATTTCGGCTATGAGTTCCATGTATGACATCATCATCATTGTTGAAAATGTAAAAAAAAAATCAAGGTTGATTCATATACTTGGTGTGAATTTGAATGCAAAGCTAAAAAGTTGGAGCTTCAAATTGAAGAAACGTTTTTGATACAAACACTTATTTGAAATTGTCTCAAATGAGGCAAAATATTGCCTAGATTTCGTAGATTAAAATTACCAGTTCTCAGGACAATGAGATCAATTTCTTACACCCTGCATGCCTCTGCAGCCCTGTTACAGTGAAAGGTGATTGCGAGGCATCTTACCACACACCATACCAGAGGCGACCGTGCCGTCACCACAAATCACTTTCACCTCTCCCGTTTCAGACTGGTCTTCGTTGAGGACCGCCGTGCTGCCGTCCGGCAGGTCAAGGGTCACCTGGTCCTCCTGCCAAAGGTCACTGATGCTAGTGTTCAAGATGGACAGGATGGAGTCGATGTTGGCCGTCTCATTCCTGAAAGAACAGCAAGAAACAGTCTGCGAAGTGTTGCAGGATTGCTTATAAAACTACGGTGTAAAAAGACGCGTGTCTTCGCGACTGTAAGGCCAGGTAAAAAAACTAATTACTTTCTCTTCCCTGTCCTGTTCTTTTTATTCGGCCTGCCTCTTTTTTGGAGGTTTCAACATACAAACTACATAGCTGTGCATGAACATCACAAATCTGGTGGACAAGACAAACGTCTTCTGACACAGAAATATTGTCCAGCAGTTGGGGGTTAGTACTGGTTCACAGCTCAACCAAATTATGCCCACGCCACAAATTTTCAACAGTTTCTCAAAACCTTTGTGCCCCAAACTATGGTAGAGCCGAGTCAGTCCAAAAAATATGGGTGATTCACAATGGTGTGCCACCACGAGTTTGCAACACGCCGGCCAATCATAACATGCAAAATCTGCTGACCCTTCCATTCGCACATTGTGATTGGCCAACGAGTTGCAAACTCTTGGTGGCGCACTATTGTAAAACGGCCGTATTGAATATCCAAATATTTGACTCTGGCATGAAATCAAATCTTCAGCATGTCAAATTGCTAAAATCAGCACAACCCTACCAAAAACTCCATTTCGCTTGATGTCATAGGAAAAAACACAAAATTGTGTTTTCCCGGTGCAAACCACAGAACTGTATAAAATGATTAGACATGAAAAACCTGTCATTCCCCAAATGGAAAGACTTAATAAGCGCTGTCCTGAGAACAGACTTTTCAAATTCAAGTGCATATTTGTAGAACTCAGTGAGTTAAGTGGGAACACATTCCCTATGAACCCTATTAAATGCAACACACAAGTGCAAAATACAGGTGAACAAACAATGTGAAGCGCGCTTTCTCTCATCAGTGTGAATCATTGAAAAGCCCCAAATTCATCTGCAGGGCATTTGGGCTGTTTACAAGTGAAACAAAATGCAGATTTGGCTTTGTTAAAGCATTGTTTAAATGCAAATAGTTTTAGAATACATATGCAAATAGTTTTAGAGTACACATGCAAATAGTTTTAGGGTACACATGCAAATAGTTTTAGAATACATATGCAAATAGTTTTAGGGTACATATGCAAATAGTTTTAGAATACAAATGCAAATAGTTTTAGAATACATATGCAAATAGTTTTAGAATACATATGCAAATAGTTTTAGAATACATATACAAGTAGTTTTAGAGTACATATGCAAATAGTTTTAGGGTACATATGCAAATAGTTTTAGGGTACATATGCAAATAGTTTTAGGGTACATATGCAAATAGTTTTAGAGTACATATGCAAATACAGATACAAACAGCTGTATATAAACCACTCAAAATTTGGAGTTTTTCATAGGTCTGTGATTATTGGATGTGCCCAGCAGGCTTCACTTTGCATATCACTTCAACACTCTAGTAATTTAACACAGCTGTATGAGGCCAACCTTTCAATAGCAAAGGTGGATGAAATGTCCATGCTTGACCCTGGACCGGGCTGGGCTTGTCTTCGCCGCCGTCTACTCTCTGCTGTGTCGCCGCAGGTCACCACGATATTCTCCAGTTTGCAGTGGTTTTCGCGGTCCCTTTGGCAGTACTGAGAAAAAAGAAATTCCAAATTTGTTGATTCTGCAATGCCTCCGTGTTGCCTGGAGAAGCTGAGAGAGATCAGGAGCATTTCTTTGACGCTAAAGGCCGGTTCACGCATGATGCAAAAGCGAGAAAATATGACAATCTTGCGATGGAAAAGTTGAATAAATTTCAACTCCAGCCAATTTTGTTGTGAACGCTTTGAGGTACTCTTCTCTTTCCTTTCGGCTGAACTATGAACTGGCCTTTCATCTTTGCATTTCAAGGCTCCAAGGCATTCCGCCAGACACATGCGGACGATGCTTTTGTCAAGTTCTAATGCTCAGACACACCCCTTTGCCATATGGAAAGGCTGCAGTGTAATCAGTCGTGAGTATAATAAGCATAATTAGTCGCATGCTCTACGGAGAGTGTCTCCTAGCCGGTCACACGAGTTGTGGTATGGTACATGTGCAGGCATGTTGTCAATGACAATCAGCTCTTCGACAGAAAGTTTGGGGTGCAGAGGAGAAGGTTCCTTGCAGCTGAATATCTGAACGATTGGCACTTGTTTGAATGGTATTCAGGGGTCATAAGGGCTTCAGTAATGATCTTGTGATGGTGTCAGGGTATAATGATGATCTTGTGCTGGTCTTATGATGGACTTGTGATGGCTATGTGATGGAATCATGATATAATGATGATGGTTTGTGATGATCTTGTTCTGATCTTATGATGGACTTGTGATGGTCTCGAGTGTCTTGTGGGGTGACGTGATGGTCTTATGATGATCTTGTGATGGTACCAAGATACGACGATGGTCTTGAGACAACCTTAGGATGATCTTAGGATGGACTTATGATCATGAGGGGTCTCGTGACGGCCTCATGACAGCCTTGTGATAGTACCAGGGCATGATGATCTTGGAATGATGTGGTGATTGAGTTATGATGGTGTAATGATGGTCGAGAGGTCTTGCGGGGTTCTGTGATGGACTTTAGATGGCCTTGTAGGACACTGTGATGGTCTAAAGGGGTCTCCAAATACAACAATGGCTCGCACAGTACCATGAAGTGACTCCTCATGAAGAGCAGAATGAAGCTGTTCTGGATCTGTTGGGTCTGGTTTTGGCAGCTCCCCTGAAGGTGTTGGAAGCGGAAAGTGTATGTGCGTTCCCACCGCACTCTCATTCGTGAGGTTCCTGCGTTAATAAAATGCAGACATGTGAAAGATTACAATCTCATGCATATTTACAAATCAGCAAATCCCCCCCTTCATTGGTCAGGAATCCTACATGCTCCAGAAATTTCAGCATCTGACTCCAGGAACTTTGTTCCATGTACAGCTTTTAGGTCATACTAAAGCCCGCATCCAAATTGTGGCTAAAGCTGGGAATAATACATGTATGTGGGTCTAAGAAAGCCACTGACTAGCGGCTGTAGCAGTTTCCTAAAAAAACACAGTCCCACACAGCCATAGCTTGTTGATTCAGACATGGCCACAGTATGCTGCTTTTCATATCCCAATGAGCCATTTGCGAGTTAAATTTGAATAAAATCTGGTACACTGAGTTCTTTAAATTCTCGTGAACATAACAACTTGAATTCTCCATTCTAAAACCACTGTTGCTATACCTTGTGATGGGCAAGCTTTTGCTTAGTTACATAAGAGACGCCTTGCAACAATACACTGTTCTCAATGGATAAGAACGGCACAAAGGAACCAGTCTATTCTAGAGATGGTGGTTGCTATGCAAAAGCTTGCCCCGAATCATGAGGTATTAGCAACAGTGTCTTTACTCTGGGGAGTTCAAATTGTTACGTTTCTATGCAATCAGATAACACAGTGTACCAGATTTTATTCAAATTTAACTCGCAAGTGGCTCATTTCTTGAGCTGAGATTCCAGAGCTGAGCAAACCTGTTTGCTGATATCCTGTTTGTCTGCTAAGCATACATATTTCCTGTGTCAGCTGACTGAACTGAATTCTAAAGGCCAGTTCATAGGCTACAGGTGAATGCGACGCCAATTCGACGTCATGAAAAATTTGCAGTGAAATTTTGCTTCAGTTGAAATGTGTTGAACTTTTGTGACTTCGTAGCACGAATATTTGAATCTGACGTCACAAATTCGCATTTGTTTCATTTTCGCGCAAAGTATGAAACGGCCTCTACACTTAATAAATGCAAGTATATGAACTTGCGATTGGTTGGCGATTCTTATGATCTCGATTTTTTTTACACACTGGCCACCACCTTTTGTCCACAGTTAATCAACAGTAGTGGTTTTTGGTTGGATTAGAACCATTCTGTGTCTTGGTGGAGTTTTCTACACTTGTACATGTTATTAATGCGCAGCAATTGCCAGAAAAGCTTGAGCAAATGTCAGATTAAAGGCAAGTCCCACTGGTACTTTGGCACATGACCACGGGAGACATTTGACTTAGCGTACAACCGACAACTGACAGACAGGACTGACAAAATACTGAGTGACGTAACTCACCCCCTGGGAGGTGAGTTGGACGAGCGACAAAATGAACGAAGTGGGACACTCCAACTGCCGACGAGGACACAGCGTTATAAATATTCTTTCATCCCTAGGGCCATTGCTGCATGCAATTTGAAACATACGAGGGGAATAGACGAACTCTGTCAAGATGTGGGATTGATGATTTTTTAATAATAATGTATATTTTCTCTATATTTTAATTAGATTCAATGTTTTATTACGTTTATTTAATTATTTTAAAACAATAATATGTTTTAGAATGCTAATTTTTGTATGTTTTTAATGAGGCTTGTACGCAGAGAGGTAATTTCCTTTGGGATTAATAAAATAACTATGAACTATGAACATGCAGTCACTTAGGACAAAACAGAGTTCCAATCTCATACATGCGATTGATTTCTCAACGCGTAGAAAGGCAAGTCGGCTGCATCATCAGAGTCAACAGAAAGTAAGTTCCATCAGTTGGCATTTTGCACTGTGGTCATTCATCATGAATGATGGTCATTTCCTCGTCAACATCTCTCTCGATGGCTACATTTGGGTACTGGATCGTAGCGCAGCTGACCGCACAGCAACTGCAAGCTTCGCTGCTCCCTGAAGTGATGGGTGATCTCATAAATGGTTGCCCTCACTTGATGTGAGTGGCTTTTGATGACATTGGCCAAGTTTTCCCAGCTGATGCTCTCCCAGACGTCTGTTCTGTTTAATGCAAAGCCTTTTATGTCTTGTTTGATCGTCTATGCTTTACTGTAGAGTCTTCGTCATTATCGCCATTACCACCATCATTTGACTCGGTAGCGTCTGATCTCAGTATAGGCTGTCTTCACCCAATACTGGCAAAGATTGCTATTCAGATCCTGTGGTAGTTAAATACTTCTATTTGTTGATCAGTCTTGTCTTTTGTGGATAAGTAAAGCATCTTTTGACATCATTTTCTCTTGTTTCCAAGACCTGGATAGTTCGTTGGTCTGATTGCTTCATCAGCTACACATGTAAATGTACTTGGGGTGATACCGTTAGAATTAATATTTGATATAATGGCATTACATGAATGTCAGAACCTCAAACTGACCATCGTCATTGTCGTTGTTGGGTTCATTGGTGTAAACGCCATTTGCGAGCCGGGTTGGCTGGGACACAGCTCGTCTTGCTACAAGTTTATAGATCGTAAGATGACGTGGGGGAATGCCAGCGCGTACTGCCAAGGGCTCAATGGGACGCTGTTGGTGATCGAGTCGGCGGACGAGAATGACTTCATCACTCAGGCATTCAGAAGCCTGTCTGTGAATTTTGCCTGGCTTGGCTGCAGTGATCAAGACGCAGACGGCGTGTGGATGTGTTACCCTGGGGGTGTAAAGAGAATGGCATACCAGAACTGGGGGAAAGGACAACCCAACAATTGGAGGGGCAGCCAGCATTGTGCTGCGGTACACATCAAATGTCACGGTGGCACGTGGGACAACCACAGGTGCACCAGGAAGTTCCACACTGTCTGTGAGACAAACGACAGCAGAGGCCCTGCCATGTCCTGCTACATTCTGGGATTTGACGGCCGCCTTCTCGCTTAAACCTCGCTGAAGGCTTCAAAAATTGGATTGACATCTGTCACCAGGCCCTCCCTCATTTTGATACTAGCTGCCATGATCCCAAGACATCAATACAATCTCATCACCTGCAATGGGTGCTAGGTAAATTCTTCAATTATCTTTTTATCCGACTAATATTGAATGTTTCTTTACTGTATTTCATTTGGAAAATCGCTGGACTGACAACAGACTAAAATTTCATGAGAAGGCTCCATGAATGAAAAAGGAAAGTCATAGTGTCTCCCTTCAAGACAAATCAAAACATCTAAGCATCTCTAGAAATATTACAGAGTTTCTTGAAAGTAGAGAAATAATCTAATGACTAGATGGATAGAAAGTGAGGAGCCAACAATGTACATGAATATTGCTATGTGATGTCACAATGAAGGTGGTGAGTACATCATCAGTGAATGCTTCACCATCAAAATCAAAGCTAGTTGCTTGCACGATATACGAGCGGTGTTGTGTGAAGTCATAACAACTTTAGTAAACCAACTTCAGTAGAACTGTTCTCAAGAATGGAGCCACTGCAACTCTCCAGCAACCGACTACACCCTTAATTAAAGGAAACTTTAATTGCTAACACAAGCCTAATTTGAACACAGATGCAGCTGTTTTTGATTTATAAAACTTTGTTTTCATGAAACATTAAAAAATATTGGCTGGTGTGAGTCTGTCAGTGAAAAAATGTTGAATGATTGTCTATTAAATAATTTTCTCCAGTCTTAGCTTGCTGTCATCTCTATATCTATTTATTATCCATTGGGATACTAATGCTCCTCACACAAATGTTACTCAACCTGCCAGAGTTCTGAAACCCAATCACACTACAGGAAACGTTGAATTAACACGGTCGCTGAGGCTGTTTAACCACTTGCTGCCAGGGTTTCGAGCACCAAGGGTTTATATGCAGAGCTGGGGTGCCCGCAATCGGACAAAAGAGCTAGTCCGTGTAACGAAAGACAGTGCTTGGAACAAACGACCTGCTGCTGGGAATTGCCATCATTTTTTGGCTTGCATTTTTCGAAGGTAATCCGTCAATTTTTTTAACAGTATACCACTTTTTTGGGCATAGCGTGCCCGTGAATTAGCACCGCGGACAAAAGTGCTCCAGGGCCCCATTGATGAGCGACACGGCACCGCTGCATGCTAATTCAGCTGCGTTTGAAAAAATGCTACTCGCATTCACTGGGAACTAAGGAAATTATGCAACACCTCACAATTCTGGGCTCTCTTTACAGAGTGGCAGCCGTGGCTGAAATACTCAGGAGTCAATGAAGGCTACCTGTCAGCTAAGAGTGGCCACCAAACAGTCATTCATGTGGGTGTAAACGTCCATTAAATGAAATGATGAATTTTTAAAGAATTTTGAAAACTGAAAATCTTGAAAATCTCCCGTAGGTGTGCACTGCATTTTTAAGAACACCTCACAGCAAGTGGTTAATAATGCCATGAACCAGATATCCGTTGAGCACAGTGTGTGATTGCGGAAGTTGATTTTCACGGTGGAAGGACAAAAGAACCACGATATGATACCTGTCAAAGTTGTTGTCCAGATGACTTAAAAGACGACCACAAGATTCCACAAGACAAGTACAGGGCCCCACATCTGCATTTAAATCACAAGTTATTGAATAAATAGCAACAAAAGCGTTCCTTCTGTCAGCGCACAACCTATTAATTGTAACTGGTGTGGCAAAGGTCTTGACGTCAACACTGCAAAGATGGGATCGGAGTGTTATTCATTTGTGCTGATATATGTTCACCCAACAGTGAATTCAGCGCCAATTACAGGATGAAGAGACAGTTTAGAAACAATAAAGAAACGTTCAGTTTTAGAGGTGGGAGGAACAAAACCCCGGATAAATATCACAGGGAAACCCACGGAATCAAGTGGGGACTGGAAACCCAATCCACATGCTGATCTTGGTGGGATTCGAACCCCAGTCGCAGAGGTGGAAGGCGAGGAAAAAGCCACTACCCCAACCTGACTTATTTGAACTTTTACTCCCAACGACAAGCTTTTGGGATCATTACTTGGTATATCCTTGATGTTAAGCATCTTCTGGATAGTTTTACTTCCTTATCATTTTACCATGGGGAGCAAAACTTCTCTCATGTACCACTATTTTTTTTCAAAAGTGAGGCATTTGTTCTTCTATGTATGTCCTACCTTATTTTATAAAAAGGAAGGCAAACTAATTATCACCAGAAGGTTCTCCCATATTTCATCACGGACCGGGTGAATTCCTTGATGAATTGGACATTTTCTAGGTGTGCGTTTTTTGTGAGCAATTATGGATGAAGAGTATATGAGTCTTATGGCTGATGGTTGTCTTAATTTGTTGCTTCGGGACACTGAGATATATCATATTTTTGCTACTGTCATTTCATCGCTTGATTGAACGCAATTCAGATATCATTTCATCGCTTGATTGAACGCAATTCAGATGCTCTGTGATAATGTACTTCCAAGGCAGTGGACAACTGTAGCATATTGCTCGGTGACTGTGATGGTCTCGATCTGATCATCTTCACCATCCAAGTGTGGCTGCTAAGCTATATGACAGCGATCTAATACAGACTGTTTCATTCAACGCTGTCCAGATCTGCTGTTCAGATCTTGTAGCAATTTGTTGCTTGCCTTGATTTTATCCAGTTTGCGCTATTTTGATGGTTGCAGCATCATTTTCTGGTATTGTTTTCTCTTGTTTCAAAGATCTGGATGAGACCTCGGTCTGATTGTCCTGTTCCTCTCATCCTGTGGCTCTTTTTTATCTAGAGGCGGTCACATCGGTACTTCAGCTGATGTTGTAAGAGAAAAAAAATGATGGCTTTACCTGAACCAAAGGGCCTCAAACCAGCCATCATCATTGCCTTGTTTATTTTCACTGGTGTTAATGCCATTTGCAAACCAGGTTGGCTGAAACATGGCTTGTCTTGCTACAAGGTTACAGATCATAAAATGACGTGGGAGGATGCCGGTGCATACTGCCAAGGGCTCAATGGGGCACTGTTGGTGATCGAGTCGGCGGACGAGAATAACTTCATCGCCGCGGCTTTCAGAGATCTTAAAGTGAAGTTTGTCTGGCTTGGCTGCAGTGATCAAGACACAGAGGGCGAGTGGGTGTGTTACCCTGAGGGTGTGAAAAGAATGGCGTACGAGAAATGGGCGATAGGAGAACCCAACAATTGGAAGCAATGCCAGCATTGCGCTGTGGTAAACATCAAACATGGTGGCGGTGAGTGGGGGGACAAACCATGCACCATCAAGTACCGCACTATATGTGAGACAAACTATACCATGTCCTGCTACATTCTGGGTTTTGACGGCCGCCTTCACCCTTAAACCTCGACGAGGTCTCCAAGCTCTGAATGATTCCTCGGTCTGATTTCCCTGTTCCTGTCATCCTGTGGCCCTTTTTTTTTTATCTAGAGGCGGTCACATACATCCATGTACATGTACTTCAGCTGATTAAGAGACAAAAGGAAAAAAAAGGATGGCTATCGCTGAATCAAAAGGCCTCAAACCAGCCGTCATCACTGCCTTATTTTCATCGGTGTCAATGCCATTTGTAAACCACATTGGCTGAAACATGGCTAATCTTGCCACAAGGCTACAGATCATTAGATGACGTGGGAGAATGCCAGTGTGTTTGGCCAAGGGCTCAATGGAACACTATTAGTGATTAAGTCAGCAGCTTCATTGCGGAGGCCTTCAGAAATCTTGAAGTGAACTTTGCCAAGCTTGGCTGCAGTGATCAAGATGCAGACGGCGCGTGGGTGCGTTACCCTGAAGGTGTACAGAGAAAGGCGTACAAGAACTGGGCGATAGGAGAACAGAATAATCGGAAGGGCAGGCGGCATTGAACCGTAGTAGACGTCAAACAACATGTCAGCACGAGGGACGACCACAGATGCACCAGGAAGCTCCACACTGTCCATCAAACAAACATCAGCAGAGGCCCTGCCATGTCCTGCTACATTCTGGGTCTTTCATGGCTGCTCGTAATCTGCTCCTGTGCCCCAACCAACCTTTCAGCTAAACAACATACCTATCACTTCATATGTAGACAGTCAGTCATGAATTGGCACAGTACAGTGATGACAAACTCACACTGACACTTCTGGCAATGACAGTGGACACTCGTGGTAGTTCTCCTCAGCGTTCAACTTCATTTCATTTGGAATAACTCTTATTACTCATCAATATCCTTTTTTTTCTCCACGATGTCAAAATACGATGACACCCTAGTTTTGGGCTTGGATTCTGCAGTGAATGGACCAAACTGAGAGCCAGGTACCAGCGCTTATGTTATTATCAAAGTGTGCATTGTATCAAAATGTTGATAAACCCGGGAGGATAAACATGTACTCAGTAAGACATGGGACGGAGGGGTATCCCCCCTACATGTCCTAGCCACACATTCTAGACTAGTGTTACTTAATTCCTTCCTAGATGTCTGAAAAGAATTCCTGAGATTCCAGTAGAACGACTAACACAAAGAAGGGGGGGGGGTTATCTTGCTTCAGTGTAGAAGGAGGTAGAAATGCTTTAGAATGGACCTTTTCCGTGAAATATGCAAATTAGACAGGCGCATGTAAGCAACTCCCACTGGCTGGAAAGCACAGCCGTCCATAGTGGGTACTGTACGAGAGAGCTGCGCTGACCATAACCTGGCGCGTTGAAGGTCAATCTAAACTGTATTGCAGCCTTTGTCCGTTACGTCGGCAAGCTTTTCTCAAAACTGAGTGAAGCTTTCAGTGTCCTGAGGCTGGAAAGTATTAACAATTCCTCGTCTTTCAGTTTGGCACTCATGCCAAATTATGCTTATACAAAAGCAGCTTATAGAGTTGAACGCTGCTATAACAAACACGACGGGGTCCACGCTAAATGTTCAGTACAGCGGTCATTGGGTACAGCAAAATTAACTGCCGAATGTTTTGTTGCCATACTGAGTAGCGCCCTCTCTTGTCTAACTGAAGTGCACCCTCTTGTGATACTATGATTCGCTGCATATAGAGGGATCCCAATACGATGCTTTTAGCGTCGATCTGCGCACTTCCACGAGGCTGTATGTGTCAGCTTCAATTCTTAACACGATCAGACGATTGAAAGTAAGGAGTTAAGACACAAAATACATAAAGGTATGTTCAATTCAGACTTTTCAGGCTGCAAAGTTTTGTGGAAGAGTCTTTCAGGATGACTGGACACGTGAAATCAAAAGAAAAAACAATCGCAATCGACCGCGAACTAATGTACCTGCGATGGCTATGTATCTTGTGCAGTGGGCGTGGTTTAAACTGAAGTGGCGTCACACTTACGAACCAGATACTGCATGTACTGTGTCAACTCTGCGGGCACGCGCGACAAAGTTCAACACAGAGAGCCTCGGTTTCGATGCAGATATGCGCAGTCGGCACTAATGTGAAATCCATCTCTACGTTTGAAGTTTCCAGAAATGTATCTGTTAATTATTTTTGTTTTTTTATGAAATCTTGAGTTACAAAAGTCGTGAAGCTACCACTCAGGATCAATCTCTGATGCATGCTGTGGCAAATCTCGGTTGATTTGCAACTACATAATGTTCTGTAGGTTTTGTGCACAACATATTGGGAGCCAAGGATGATGTTCGGTACAGCCGAATGCTCAGAATAGCAGTGTTCGGCATAGTGGTGTTCGGTATAGCCGTATTCCGTATAGCGGTGTTCGGTATAGCGTCATAGATTTAAGCAACTTTGCCAACCAGTGGTAGTAATGCGCCTGCTTTATTTGCATATTTCACGGGAAAGGTCCATTGGTATTACTACTTGTAATGTGACATGTGGCATGTATAGCGGTGGTTAAATACTGAAACAAATGGAGCCTTTGAATTTTTCTGTCCTATGAAATGACAAGAAAGTTGCTTGATTATTTGTACAAGTTATGGGTAGAAAATAATGGTGGTATGACAAATGTTGTCACAAACGTGGAAAATGACCCAATGTGTATGTCACTGTTACACTTGTCGTAACAGTCCCTTAACCACTTGGTGTCAGGGTTTCCGGTACCAGACTCCTTGGGTTTATACGCATAGCTGGGCTGCCCGAAATCGGACAAAAGAGCTTGGTAGTGCAACAAAAGACCGTACTCGGAAGACCCACTGCTGGGAATTATCATCATTTTTTAGCTGGCATTTATCGGAGGTAATCCGTCATTGTTTTGAAACAGTACACCACTATTTGTGGAATTGCGCACCCACCCACCGCGGACAAAAGTGTGCCAGCACCCCAGCGCTGAGCGATACAGTACCGCTGCACGCTAAATCCAGATGCGTTTGAAAAGATGCCACTGGCATTCACTGGGAACAAACGAAATTACGCAACACCTCACAATTCTGGGCTTTCTTTACTGGGCGGCAGGCCTGGCTGAAATACACGGACGTCAATAGATGTTGTTTGTCAGATTAGAGTAGCCACCTGACAGTAATTCGTGTGGGTGTAAACGTCCAGTAAATGAAATTATGAATTTTTGAAGAATTTTGGAAAGGAAAATCTTGAAAATCGCCGGGCAACTCGTCCCACATATACAAACTCCACCCAGCAGGAAATGGTTAACGTGAAGAACAAAGGTTTCAAGACCATGAGAACTGCTATTTCAAAACCACACTGAAATCATCACCAACAGTAAATTTTGTCCTCCTGCATTAGTTAATAAAGAATTTCAAGACTTACGTTCAGTACACGCGGGTAAGTAGGGCATTCCTTGTTGGCCAACCTCGTGGTTCCACCGGCCTGAAGCCAGACAGACGTAAACATCGCGGGGGCGATTCCTGTCCAGAAAGATGTAACCCTCGTTGCAGTGCATGGTACAGTAGTTGCCGTTCTCGCAGGCCAGGGCACCATGAGGGGGCGGCTGAAGAGGGGGGCATTCCACACCTGGGAATTGACAAGGCAAAAACAAAACCCACAATCCGTATTGAGTATGTGCAATTATTTTTTTGCAAAATACAAGAGCATTCAAGTTATACACGCTTTCTGGCCTTCAACGTCAACGTCAGTCCGGCTTTTAAAATATACAGGCACACATCTAGATCTGACGATTTTTTGTTTGAGATAAACGGCTTATTGTTTGCATGCGAACTAGGAGGGGACCTAAGAAAGAGACAACTTTCAGAAGGCAGTTTAAATCTCTGAAAAATGAAGAAAACAAATGTCAGGAACTGTCGTCGGGTTTAATATTACTGCTTCTGGTGAATGAAAATGTGCAAAGGCTTATTCTATTGGACTTTGCAGAGGATATATGGCCAAATTTTGGAAAAAATGAAGTGAGGTCAACGTTGGCAACTTCCCAATGTAACAAACCTTTTGCGAGTTAAATTTGAATAAAATCTGGTACACTGAGTTCTTTAAATTCACATGAACATAACAACTTGAATTCTCCATACTAAAATATTTCCAAATAGGTCACTTGGGAGACATTTTGTGGTAAATTTTTCAACATCAGGGAGACATCGGTCATTAGGGAGACATTTCAATGTCTCCCTAGTGACCCAACTACCAGAAGGTGGAAAATTTTTACCGTCCAAATTTTGAGAGATGATAGATTAGGGTCTAAAAGGAAAACACGCAAAGTTTGGTTAAGATCGGATTAGGTAAAATTGAATTATGGGACAGTAAAGTTTGTGCACGTTCCTATGGGAATGTCTCCCAAGTGACCCATTTGCAGTAATTATAGCCACTGTTGCTATATCTTGTGATTCGGGGCAAGCTTTTGCTTAGTTACGTAAGAGACGTCTTGCAACAATACACTGTTCTCAATGGATAAGAACGGCATAAAGGAACCAGTCTATTCCAGAGATGGTGGTCGCTATGCAAAACCTTGCCTCGAATCACGAGGTATAGAAACAGGGTCTTTAGTCTGGGGAATTCAAATTGGTATGTTAATGTGCAATCAGATAACTCAGTGTACCAGATTTTATGCAAATTTAACTCGCAAATGGCTTATTATTCGCCACTATGTCCCTAAGGTGAGGTACATGGACATTCATGTGAGGCCCTCTTCGACACCTTTAAAGAGAAAGCACTCACTTTGCACAATTTCGAAAACGACTACACAGATGTTGGTGTTGTCGCTTGTGTCGGTCGCTGTGTAGGTCACTTCCATACGGCCCCACTGGAGGATGGGCCCTACAGTGGGCGGATTCAACTGGATGCTGCGGATGCCGACATTGTCATCAAACATTGGCTCCTCCCACTGGAGGGTGACAGGGAGAGAGGAAGTTTCCACGACCGTGGCGTTGGGGCAACTCAGTACTATCGGCGCTTCAAGATCTGGTTACCACGACGTCATCCCACCAAAAAACACACACGCACAAAAAAAACAGCGTTCAAAGTGTGCACATGTATTTCTACTTTGGAAGCAGAAAGGCGGACCACAAAAATTTACCGATCTGACGAGACAGATTGCAGGAGATTCTGTGCAAAAATGCCAGTCCAAGTTTGCTGATTAATGTCGATAAATGTCATAACCCAAATCCAACCTGAAATTGATCCGAGCTCCCCATATCTAACCCTGCCAGACCTGACAGAAATTAATGTCAACCCCCCTTCCCAATAAAATACATGTATCTAGCTCAGACAAATCGCCCTATATTTCCGCACCAGAAAATATATGAACTACATGAATTCCGTTGAGGAAAATCATCCCGAAAACCAAAAATTCTATACAGTGCATCTTGCTTGCAGTCCTGGGTGGCATGTAGAATTTAACACCAGGTGAAAAAATCTTGCATCTTGGTCATGCGAGGCGCAGTGCCTCCACAGGAGTAAGGCATCATGTGAATGCCCAAACCATGTTTTGCATTTTTTTCCCCAGTTTATTTCAATTTATTTCAGGTTTACACCAATATGGCTTGACCAAACCAACCTGACCGGACTTAAATGGTGGAAAAAACTGACATGACCCGATGCAAAGTCAGTTTTTGTCAAACTTTGCAAGGGTCGAGACATTGACAAGATGACAAACATCATGTAAGCGCAAGCGTTGGCACATCTCTGCTTCTAAAACAAAGTTTGGGGTTTTTTTTTGGTTGAACATCTCCTTGATATTGGGCCAAGGTTGGAGGTCAAAGGTCACATTTGTGAACTAGTCTCGCCCCTCAAGAACCCGCCACCTAAGAAAACCTTTGTGCTAAACCAAAACAGCGGCAATGTAAAAGCAGCCTTTCAAATATCTCAAAAAGCACCAAAAGGGGTGACCAAATGCAGCATTTCCTTTTTTAGTTTACAAAAAAAAGGAGTTCCTTTACGGACCCCCCACTACAAAGTGGGTAAGCTCTGCCACAGTTTAATTACCTTGCACAGTGACGAATGTTGTGCAGTACTGGCTGTTGCCGGCAGCATCTATAGCCGCAAAAGTGTACAAGAAATAACCAGGTCCCGTGTTTTGTTCGCCGTGTTCGGTGCTCCTGATCCTGGGGGCCACACCTTGATAGAGACAAACGGAAACGTGGAGACAGAGGATAGAGAGAGGGGAGGGGCATCTTCATTGGAAATGTGGGTCAGGGAGCTTGTGGCCAGAACCTGTGGTATAGGGCTGTGCCAAATATTTGAATATTACTTTCCGAATTTGAATATTAAATGCAAAATTCATGAAAAGGAAGGGAGAATTTTCTTTTGTTTGGAATGAGAAGAATCGCACTATGGAGGCTTGTTTCCAGCAGATTTAAGTGAAAAGCAACGGCATATTTTCAAAAAGTACATTAGTCATACAAAAATTCAAAAGGAACAGAAATTTTCAAAAGGGCAAGAAGTATTGTTCGTCTGCTAATTCTTCCTAAATGGTGAGACGTGACATGAGAAGCTATTACAGTGATTATAATGTACAATTGTGCGTGTTACTGCGACTGATTTTGTATATGGTTTGTTCATCAACAATCCGTCGGTCAGTATGACCGAATATTCGGATATTCGATCGAATTGAAGGTCGAATATTCGAATACTGAATTATTCAAATTGACTCAGCCCTACTGCAGTAAGGTCCTGACTGAGTGATGCCTACGACAGCCATTCCATCCCCCTCCCCCCCCCCGCCAAAATTTTTGGGGTTTTTAAAAGGTAATGAGATTATTTTTTTTTTAACTTTCTTACTTCCCTACCTTCTAAAAGTTTGTAAAAAGCCCCCACATTTAGCCACAAATGGTTAACCCTCGAAGAGCCACTGGGACCATCTCACTGCTGGGGAGGATTCTGCTCTCTTCCCCCCCTCAAGAATTTGGCTGTCCCAGTCCAAATCTTTCTACAAACTTGACATGCATGTGAGGACACTCGTTATAAGTACAAATCTGGAATCATGACTCCAAGTGGCACTGTTTGTTGCCATGAATCATTTGACATTCAGGGCCGCAAGCGTTGTCAAAGGGTGGGGGGGGGTTGGGTTGGAAGGTTGCTCTTTTTTGGGGGAGGAGGGGAAGAGGGCCACATTCAAAACCTTATGAATACACTTCCCTGAATTCCAGGTAGGACACTCGCCATTTTTTCGATCTTCTAAACAGGACTCACCGGAGTTATCCGTGGCGCTGGGGTGATCTATGGTGAACGTCATGGTGGCTTCACCAGGAGGAAGGACGTAGGACTGAGACGGAGGGCAGGTTATTTCAGGAGGGGTGATGTCTGAAAGAAATTAAGCAGGACAAAACAGGCCTGTGGGTATTAACAAAAATTCCACAACAGCTTTTTTGAAAATAAAAAAATCATGAAACAGGGCCAATTCCAGCCTCCCCCACATTACGCCGCTTTTTTATTAAAATTTATCAAACTGAATCAAACCAACCATACAACACCCTTGGAGTGAGCAGTGTTCAAAAGTGGAGAGATAATTTGACTCACCACTCAGTGTAACAAGAAAAGGAAACGGATACTTTTTCCTGTAATTGTTGGGTCCCTCAAACCATAATCTGGAGATCTAGCATGTTTTCCATTACTACGCAACTTACAGCATTATACAATAGCCTGTGTTTGAGTCAGACCTGAGTGTATTCCAGATGCAAGGGACATGAGATGACAAGACAGCGTCACTCACATTACGCAATTCTGCCAGGCCCATGTAAGCGTGAAAAAGTCACAGAAGTATCAAAATGAACAGCTGTGCTTATCAGAGTAAATTAGCACCTGGATTGCTTGATTGCACAAGGCAGAGGCATTGGAACCGTGCTGCAGCATTCTATTAGGAGTCCGTACATGTCTGTGGGTACATGTCTGGAATGTGAAACGGGCAATCGGTACCCATCCACCCCGACTTGAAGCATCTCCTCTCAGTAGCAATGAAGCGACAGTATGGATGAGAATCATTTCATTTCATTTGGGTGCTGGATTGAACACAACAGAGATTATACATCCCCCCCAAAATGATTACATTCTGACCAAGTGTGCACAAAACCCAAGATCGTCACTGCTGTTTCAAAGAACACCCTTTCTTAACCCCCCATGGACGGGACAGAATCTGCAAAAGCATCTTTCATGAACTCAGTGGGCGGGGGATCCCATCAGCGTCCCCCCCCCCCAAACTGACAAACATCCCTTTCCCTTACCAGTGCAGACGCTCCCAGAGATGTCGTCCGACCACTGGCTGTTGCTGAGACACGAGGTGGTCCCGCCGCCGACCAGGCCGTAGCCGGCAGCGCAGGAGATTTCACAGGTGGTTCCATAGCTGGTCGAACTGGCGGAGCACATTGCCGGTGAGAAGGTTCCATTGACTGGTGGTATCAGTGGGCTGCAGTACACAGCTACGGGAGAAACAAACATTAACGTGTTACCAAACACAAACGCTCAGCCATGCCCAAACCCACCACTTGAATTTGTGATCACGAAAAATCTGTCGTTTCTCTCGTTATCGCAATAATGACCTCAATCACTAAACCAGGGTGTCCAAAATCAACAGGTTTCCAGAGGACACCAAGACCAACCCAAACACCAGGTCTGAAGTTGACATGTGCTGTTTTTCTTGAATTGCCGAGTGAAAATAACCTTCTCTATAAGGGCGTTTCACAATAGTGCGCCCCCAAGAGTTTGCAACGCATTGGCCAATCACAATGCGCGAAATTTGTTGACCCTTTCCAAACGCGCGTTGGGTCGACAAATTTCGCGCATTGTGATTGGCCAACGTGTTGCAAACTCTTGGGGGTGCACTATTGTGAAACGTCCGTATTGAACCTTGACATTTCACCCTATGGGATCCAAAATTAATAGGCCCTTGCAGGACCTCAAGCTCAGCCAACCCACATGTACCAGGTTTTGAAATATGCGGCTAAGCTGGGACCAAGGTCTCGGGAATGACTTTTTTAAAATGGTTGCAGAGATGTTTAAAAGTGGGTCCCTGCAGTGTTTCAGTCCGTACGATAGCTAGCGTACAGCTTCAGTAGTTGAGTGGTACAGATGACTACATCAGTGAACAGGAGGTTGAAGGTTTGATCCCCAAAAATAGTCCATCAAGTCTTTCTTCATTTCTTGGAAAGCTTGAGCATACCAGATTCAGAAACATCCCTTTTTTCAGGTCATGACAAGACGGTACCTTCCATCAAACCTGGAAAGTTTGTCACACTCGAGTCTGCCCCTTTTGTACCTGCGCACAGTGGCACAGTGGCATTCCACACTCCCTCCTGCGTGCACGCGAGATATTTCGAACCGATGAGTAAGTAGCCGTCGTTGCAGTCAAATATGGCGACGGAGCCTGACTGGTCCCCGCAGGTCTGCGACACGATGCTGCCGTGGGATGGCGGTAACAAAGGGTCGCACTGCATCCCTGTATGGGTCGGGGGGGGGGGAAGCATGTGGAATGAGTCATACAAATATCAAAGGCCAAGAGACTATTATAAACTCTTAATATGGGTGATTCAAAATGGTGCGCCACCAAGAGTGTGCAAGGCGTTGGCCAGTCACGATGCACGAAATCTGTTAACCCAATGCGCGTTTGCAGAGGGTCGACAAATATTGCGCGTTGTGATTGGCCAACACGTTGCAAACTCTTGGAGTTGCACTTTTGTGGATTGCCCGTATTTGACTGTAAATATCCGGCTGCATTGTGTCTTGGGATACAGGAAAGTATAAACAAAGAAAGAAAAACACAAAATCAATGAAAGAACAGAAAGACCATCCCAATATTCAAAAAAAGTATTAAAGAAAATTCAGATTAGGTATAAGAACCAATACTGAAAGAGTGAAAAGCAGACCCGTACTCCATGTGAGGACACATGAACGAGACAAACATTTTCAGTACAAAGGGGAATCATTCACATGAAATTATTGTACAAGACGTCACTGAGTACGAATACTGCGTGAGTTTAAGCCGACAGCAAATGTGAAAGCAGATGAGATTTTACAAAATAGTTCACCTAGGCTCGCTTCAGTTTGACCGCAACAATAAAAAGTAGCTGACTCGTGGTCAGACTACAGCTCACGCCGAAACTTGCCTATAACTGACAAGCACCTATCTCAAAGGATGTGATTGGAAGGAACTTACGTAACACGTTGATGGTCAGCAGGCAATTGGCCGTGTTGCCGGATGGGTCGCGAGCCATGAAGTAGCGCTCGTAGATGCCAAATGGCCAGACCTCACCCATGGCGTCGCCCTCCCCTCCTGTCACGTTCACCGTCCCCGAGTTGTCCTCTGCCGTTGGGGGACTGTAGGTGACCACGTGGCCGTTTGTGCAGGAGTCCGGGACCAGGTACAACTCAATGTGCGGGCACGGGGCGTTGAAGACCGGCGCTGCTATGTCTACGATGAACATACAGACATGGACAACAATGAGAGCTTGAAAAAAAAACATGGTGGGGACTCGAACCCTGGACCACCACCAGCAGGGCCCAATTTCACATACCTACTCAACAGAAAATGTTGCTTAGCAAATTTATGGGCTGATGAAAAATCAACAGGGAACCAACCAATAGATATAAAGAATGCACAACATTTTGGTTGGTAACCTGCAATTGCTAGGCAGCAATTTCCTTTGCATAACAGACCCCTGTGTTTCATGGCTCTAAGAAACTGCCCCTTTTCAGACTGAGCTACCGTTCACCCACCAAACTTTGGTCAGCTAGTTGGGCTGAATCTTTCATAGCAGCTTACTCTATAAATCAGCGACTGCTGGTGGATTTCTTCAGCTGATGATGGGCCAAACCCAGCACCAAGATTTGACATCAAATGTCAGGTGGTGCAGAGGGGATCAAGCTTGCAAAAACCTACATGGTATTTAGGGAGTACCAGCACTTTTGACAGTGAGATTGAGTCCGAGTGATTGTACAGATACACTGCCAAAATTGAAATATTTTTCAAGTCCCTTGGTAAATTTGTCTACATTCTTGCTCGACATTTGCGACACCTGTGCGACCAAACACTTCTTCTCAGTGGTGTCTGAGCCCCTGTGAAAATATCACAAGGTGGCTGGGATGGGATTCGAACCCACAATCCACTCCTGCATTTATTTATTAAGGGAGAATCTTTGTATGCAATCTTGGCAACATCATTTGCTTGTACAATGAATAATTATGGACCTCAACATTAAGTTATTGTTTTGCCAATGATAGCTGCCTACAGTTTGCTCACCATGGGTTTTTTGCCATTGTGGCTGCCTACATTTTGCCAACCCATGGGGTGCTTTGCCATGGCATGGTGGTTGCTCATCGTTTGCCAACCATGTTTTTTTTGGCCATGGTGGCTGCCTATGGTTTGCCACTAATGGGTTTTTGGCCGTGGTAGCTACCCATGGTTTGTCAACCTGCTGTTAACAAACAGTGCGGCCCGTGGTACTGCGAGAGGAAAGTGCACATATAAGTACGCCAGTTCCGGGCCCACTCACCTTGGCAAGCTTGCTGCTCTGGACTGGACCAGTTGCCCGAAGCCAAGCACAGAGTGGCCGAGACGCCGATCAGGGAAAAGCCTGGCATGCAGGAGTATCGGCACATGGTCCGGAACTGTGAGAGCCCGCTGGTGCAGCTCTCTGGGGCGATGATGCCAAAGGGAGGGGGCGTCAGCACTGGACAGCGCACATCTGCCAAAAACAAATACAGAGACTGGTGCAGACAAAACCCTAGCTCCTGTCCTTCCTTGTGATGACTACAATGTGAATAAACGGGTAAAGCCTGGACCCAGCCAACTCAGCCAGGTTTCAGGCTAATTTCAGCTTCATTGGTATGCCTGCACTGCTTCAAACAAGCACATGTATGGCCAGAGAATGAGTACCAGTGACGTTTCCTCTCCCTCCCAGTCAAGAGGCTACAGGCACCCTTTTAAGTGCTTTCAGAGTCTAAAACAAAAAACCCTTTACCCTCGCACTGGATGTTTTCACCGGTCCACGTCCCCTGTTCCGTGCACCGCCTCTGCCCATTGCCGCTGCCGGGGACCGGCTGTTTGCCTTCTGTGCACACCGTCTGGCACCGTGACCCGTAGGGAAGGGACTGCGCCTTGGCATCGCAACCGACCACGTACATATCATCCTCGGGGAAATCAAACATCTGGCACATCACAGCTGAAGGGAAACAGAGAACCAAGATGCAACAAGTACCTTCCCAAAATGGTGGCCTCGAGGTCTCACTTTTCACAGCCTTCTGATGGTGCCAAGTCTTTACTTTCTTATGATTTTTCTGTCTAAGTTTTATGAGCTTCATCCCCAGCAAACCACCTGCATCTCCGGAAGCAAAAACTTGGCGGTTGGAGAGAGTTCATACGTGACCCCCGCTGGTGGACTGATTTCCCCTACAGTGCCATCGTTGAAAAAGCACCCACCTTCGCAGACTGGCTGCTCCCCGGTCCAGCTTGCCGGGTTCCCTGCCCGCTGGCTCCACTCGCACGTCCGGGATGGGGAGCCCGAGAGCTGGTAGCCAACCAGACAGCTGAAGTTGCACTGGGCCCCGTAATAGTTGTTGCACCGCTGCCCGAGATAGTCGGCGAATGGCGGGAACGGGTGCAACGGGCAGCGCACCACTGGGTAGCAGAAACGAGAAAATAAGTTTGATTGGTACAATCTTAAAAACAACTGAGCAATATGTACTTGATTCAATTCAATACTTTATTAAACCTGGCAACTACATGCAGTGGCAGCTCATGCGCTAAAAATAGTTACTAACGATATGATTAAGACAATTCAAACCGGTAATTTCACGCAAATGCAATTAGCTATAAGAAAGAGTGAGCATTAAAATTGATATGACTTTTCATCGAGAGATATCTGATGTACTTAAAATCACTTACTTAAAAAAGTAAACAAGATATAAACGAAATGATACAAATGTAAAAATACAATTCAATGCACAATACAAAGATTGAGGACCATGGAAGCATATAACTGGACGTCTATGGCATGTACAATTAAACATTATTGAAAAATCAGATGGCCATAGGAATGAAAGAATGAAGCAAACAGTGTAACACGCTCTCAATTTCCTTTTTTCGTCTTTTTCAATCAATTACTCGCTTCACACTGCATCTGTTCACTGAATTAAATCTGCAGAATCTGACTGTTGGTCAGTTCCGGATGTTACAGGTTTGGGTGTCACAATCTGCTTTATTTTGCTCCTTTGTGTGCTGTTTTTGTTGGGTTGCTTTCTTGGCGCTGTTATTTCACACATCGTGACGCCAAAACACAGGAAAAGGGCTGTATAATCAATGGGTTCTGACATCAATCAGCAAAGGGGCGTGACCGATACTGCCGTACGCACCACTTTTTGTTCAGGCCTTGGTGATTGCTGGAAAGAAAAACCTGTCACAAAATGTTTCTCTGAGTGAGAGTGACAGTTATTGGGTAACTTTGGCAGTCATGCACGTTAGTCGAGTCCACTGTCACAAGGTCTGGTCACAGTTATTCAAGCATCCTTCCTGAAGTCCAGTCACAAAGGGCAAGATGAATGATGTCAAAGGAATGCTTTGTCGTGGCCTAAACGGCTCAAGATTTCACTTAAGACGAGATGACTTCAATAGCCTAAGACTTGAGATGAGCTTACAAGGCCAAGCTCGACTGCAGCCAGTGCTGGAAGTGCAGCCACAAATATTTTTAGGCTATGTACGGTTTGACCAAGACAGAGGCTGCACTGGAAACCATGGCAAATGGTCAGACCAATATTCCAGAATTGAATTGTTTGGGGAAGGGAGGTGGCTTCTTTAAGACTGGCAACGGACAAGGAAATGAGTGGCATATTTAATCAAAGAGCAAAGGCTAGTAGTAGCATGCTGCACGTCATGCCGCCATTGTTGTTGATCAGCTGGCTGCAACTTTGTAACTTTGGTCTACTGTTTTTGTTCGACATCAACATTACGCAGTGTTAGCAGATCTATCACCGGGTACGAGCTACCCATGAATTAGTCTGGTTCCTTAAACAAATTGCCCTTCAGACTTGTGGCTGGGAATCAGTCTACTCGCTAACATTCAGGCGGTGCAGAAATAGAGGGCGCTGCTTTGAAAATTTTGAGAAAAAAATTGAGTGCACATTCAAAATCAATGCATGCGCTGACCAGAGACTGACTTGGGGGGGGGCCTCAAGCTGTGTCTCAAACTGGCTGCGGCTGACAGAAGCACATCCACCAATGGGTTGATGGTTTGAGTAGGTATATGTGTAAACTTTGAGCCACAATGACTGGACATGGCTAGGCTTAAACAGCTTCACAGTCTCCATTGCAAGGATACATCACAGTTACTCTTTTGAAAGTGCACAGCCTTAGTTTTGATGCTAAGAACAAAATGGCCTCATTAACCCTCCTTTGGTTTTACAGCACAAATGTGCA